TGTATGTCCAAGAAGAGGAATCAAAGATTGAAGAAATGGTTAAATCAAGAAGTCAATCATACTTCGTTCCAATAACAAGTCTTAAAGTTAAGATTGTGACAATGAGTGAAAAGTATTAAAGGTTTATAACATTCATCAAATGTGGAAAGTTGTGATGTCTTGGATAAGACAAAGACCAACTAGACCAATTTATGAAGTGTTTTGATAAAAGCTACACTAACTCTTGAATATTTGTTTGTCAAGAAATGTTTATTGACAAGAGAATCTTATATGTCAAGGAGTCAGTGGGAGTCTTAATGGTCTTGAAAGTTTCAAGAACAAATCAAATAAACCTTATCGATCATCACTAGCACACGAGTTGAGGTTTACAACCTATCGTGAAGACATTATTTTGTTTCTGTGCCAATCCAATCGAGTTAATTATGCATGTGAGTCCTATGAGTTCTCATTTGAATGCATAAAAGGCAAGGACCTTGATCAATGAAAGTACATTGATAGGAAAAGGTGAGCTGCTTAACTACTTGGAAGACGTGGTGGGCAGCTGTGCTACCATAAGGCAAGAAATCAAGATTAAGAAAGTTCGATCCATATGAGTTTGAATTTGTCGTAAACTTTGGTTTTAACAAATTCACATGGATAGGAACACATACACCGTTTAAATCTAAGTGTCATAAGATTTCCTCCTTCATGAAAATGATTGTGAGAAAATGCTTTCACTAAGAAAGATTTTAAAAGATAGTGATTGTAAAATTGCATTCTCGAATTCGATCATGGTTACGGCATCCCTTTCCATAATTTGAATTGTGAGGTTTGGCAATTAGTCTTAATTGTTAAGACACACATATGAACTATCTAAGGCAAAGGTGTATAAGTTCAAGAAGCCTTGATAAAAGATTATCAAAGCACTAAGTATTAGAAACATGAACTTAAGAAATTCAATAAGTATTGTTTTTCTGAAAGTTAAGATGTTTATGAATACATGTCGAAGCTAGTGGGAGCATAAGTGTTATGTTTTATAATAATCATCATGATAGTGGGAGCATAAATGTTATGATTGTATGATTATTAAGGCACGTATTGCATAGTTGGCAATATTAATTATAGAAAACAAGAGTCATACTTTGCAAAGTTGTAAGAGTTGAAAGGTTGTTTTGCTATAATTAAGGGAGAGAATATTATGCTTCATTTCAAATCTAAAGGATTAGGTTGTGGAATGTTAATAAATTTAGTCAAAGGTACATAGTGTGTTCTTAAAATTTCGATTATGATTACGGCATTCCTCTTCACAATTCGAATTTTGAGAACATAGCAAATAAAACATTATGCGTCGTGTCCCATACGCTTCGGGTATAGGATCGATTGCAAATGATTTAATGTTTGACCATTCTAAAATTTTCCAAATGTCTAGCGCATTTAGAGGGAAAAGGGACTAGAATCGGTTTTGACTAAAATAATTAAACAACTATCAAAGGACAATCCAAAGTTCGACGAGGATTGGTCGCTTGTGAGTAGTTGGAAGTATAGTATTGGAAATTATGGAAATGTTTCCATATTGGATGGACAATATCGACATCATTACGAATAGATAAGATTCTATTAAGAAATGAGTTGTCATATGGAAAATATGGAAGCGTGTCCATATTGGAAGTAAATATTGAAAATCTATGTCTAGATTAGAAACTTTTATGCAAAAGGATGTTCAAAGGAATGTACTTTGAGTGAGAGACATCATATCTAAGGAATTGTCTTGTAACAATCTCCGATAGAGGACTTTGTAATATCATTGGCAATAGTCTTTGAGACTTTGGTGCAGTGACATTACAAAAGGATCGTTGCATAAAGTGTTAGAATCTAGTATATTCTATAAGTAACAAGAATTTGATATTCTTACACTTAAGAAAATGGATTTGGAGTTGTAAAATGAGAATGATTGGAAATGTGTTCAATTTGTCTATTTCACAAAAGTAAGAACCATAGGTAAACATTGTGTGCATGCTAGGAGCATGGGACAAGTGTTGGAATTCAAGTAAGAAGTTGATTACCCGAAACGACAAATAATGAGTAATCGATATGGTGATAAATAAAACGTGTTTTGTTTATACTCAAAGGTTTGAGGCCATATGGGATTAGTATTATTCTTGTGTTTCACCTTGCATGTTTTGACTTCCAGAATAATTGAGTTTATTAAGAATAATCGAATTATTCAAACGGGCCACAGTCGTTCATATGTTGGAAGTAGATATGAATGAAGACTGTCATGAATTGGTGTGTGGATTGTCTAGAAAAGTATTAGACATAAGCAAATGTTTGCTGCAACGTTCATGAGTGCTTATGAATATGATTTGAGCATTGGATTAAACCCACGCTCACTTGGATCACTATCTCGAGTGATTAGTGAGACGATAACATCTTATATTCTTGAAACCGAGATGTGTGAGTTGTATCTTGCTAATCGGTTGCACATTGATAATATGTAAACGCACTAGTAACTTGGTGTTATAAACATATTGTTGTGTGTGATTTGGTTAGTGAGTGCAAGCAAGCATTGTATCAAAGTTTATCCGTTCCTTTTATCCAAGGTAGGATAAAGCGATATCTTTGGGCCCCTCGATGGTTTAGTGATGACATACGTAAATGCTCGGCCGGCTAGGGCTAATTTGATTTGTTCAATTAGTCTGTCGTCATAAATCGGAAATCGAGATATAGTACAAAGAGAATGATTTGAAATCATATCTCATACGATATCAAGAATGGAGGAATATATGATCCCTTATCTAAGGACACGCGTATCTGATATGATCAGAGTTGACAGCGACTTTGGAAAGCTACGATTGCAGATCAGGATCTGAAGTCATACGCAGAATAGTTGTTAGACTTATCCAAGTGGGAGACTGTTGGATTAGTGTCTAAGTCCATAACTATTTTGGTATGTACTTGACCCGATGGTGCATGGTCCTTTTGGGTTGCCTTCACCAAAGCAACTTGATAGGATGAATTATGGAGAGTAAGGATTAAATATGATTTATTAATGTATTATGAGAATAATATATTAAAGGAGAAATCATATTGTTTAATTAATATTAGTCAATAATTAATTGGTAATTAGTTTTGTGACTAAAAGAGATTAATTAAACTTAAGGGACTGGAATTGTAATTATAAGATAATTAAATTTGGGCCATGGATTGCCTTATATTAAGGGATGGACGAATTCTAATGGGAAACCCATAAGGAAATCGTCCATGGGCTTGATAAAAGGAGTCTATGGGTTGCTTAGGGCTTAAGCATCCAAATTAGGGTTTCCTTGTTAGATAACCCTAATAGCCCAACTATATAAAGACCCCTTAAGGCTCAAAAACGTGGCTAATGTTCTTGTAAGGGTTTACACACGTTTTTGGCAGCCTCCAACCTCTCTCCTCTTCATCCTCTTGCTTATGGTGTTTGTGAACCATTAGAGGAGTGACACTTGTGACTCTAAGCCTTCCAAAGTCAATACAAGGAGATTTGGGATTGTTATTGCTACATAACAATCAAGGTATGATCTTAAACCTAATTACATATTAATATGATTACTTGTATGCTAGAATTAGGGTTTATAGTCTTGGATTCAAAGCATGTACAATAGAGAAACCTAGATCCAAGCATTAGGGTTTGTATGAGCACATAGGATGTCTTATGACCAAAACCCATCAGTTTCTTCTTCATATTCATACGAAGATATAAACCACATTTGTATGTATGTATGTGTGTTAGTTTATGTAAGTATTGATTTATGAATTTGATGTCGTGAATGGGTTTTTGGATATGATTTTTTAGATAGTTTTGATGTCTTGAATGGATTTTTGGGTTAGCATTTTCTTTTTTGGATTAGAACATGGATTGCATGTGTTTTCTCCGATAACAGAGGTAGCAGTAGCAGTCACCGGAGGTTAATGGTGGTTGTGACCGGAGGCTAAGGGTGATGGTAGTTTGAAGTAATTTTACAATGGTTGAATAAAATGGTCCACATATTTAATAAATAATATTTTTAATGGTTTGGTAATTAATAGTTAATTAATAAATCAAAAATAAATAAATAAATAAATAAGGGTAAAACGGTGTTTTTATGTCCAGAGTGATGAAATATGCAAGTTTTAAACAAACGACGGACGGTCCGAGTTAATTTTTGAAAATAGAGAATAAACATGCTTTTTGGTATATGCACGAGGGACGAATGGTGTAATTTACCCTTTGCTTAACTTAAAAAGTATTTTGATAAAAGTTATTATTATTATTATTATTATTATTATATATATATATATATATATATATAGAGAGAGAGAGAGAGAGAGAAGGGGGGGGGGGGGTAGGTTCCATTAAATAAAAATAAAATAGTGATCTTGTGATTCAACCTCAGTCATATATTTCACATCTGTCACTCTAACCCTCCGGCATATCAGCGCGATAACCGACAAGGAATCGTGCGTCATGTGAAACATAGGTCATCGTCGTTTGTATGTTATAATCATAAATGAGTATGGGCATGTTTGGCACGGAACTTTTGAAAGCGCTTAATAGCTTGTAGCTTCTAGCATTTGACAAAACGCTCTGTTTTAAATAGAAAACCTTGTTTGGCACTACAAGCTTCTAGCGTTTAAATTAAACAAAACTTTCCAAATCCAAATGTTACTTCATGTAGCTTTTAACAAAACATTGCCAGCTAGAAGCTACCCGCTACAAGCTACTTCTACCAGTTATTTTTGCCAAACACGTTGTATATAACGTCGTCCGTTCATTTCTCCTCGGTGACCACCACAACCGTTACCGCTACCACAACCTCTAACACCAAATGACCCCACCATTATCACCTTCGTTACTTATATCACAAACTGTCATAATATCATAATCATTTATAATTACTCAATCTATGAACAAACATATATGTATAATCATTTATGATTAGGCATATACGTATAAACATGCATAATCATATAGATTATACCTCACTGTCATATAATTAGGGATGAGTAAAAGGACCGAGCCGGCCGGAACCAGCCCGAATCGACCCGACCCGGGAACCGACTTCGGCCAAAATCATGAACCAAACCGCCCCGGTGGTTCTACCGGTTCCCGGTTCCTACCGGTTCTTGTTGTGTCTTCAAATATTGGAACCGTTCCTCGAAAAATAACATCATACGGTTCCAGTTTTTGCCGGTTCTACCGGTTTTTTCTAGTTCTACTGGTTTCGATTATATCGGTTCCGGTTCCTACCAGTTCCCGGTTCCAAATATCCACAAAAATAACGTCCCGGTCTCGACCCGACCGGTTCCATCGGGTTCCGATTCCGATGCCGGTACCGGTTCTGGCCGGCTCCCCGGTTCATATGTTCATCCCTACATATAATCGTTTATGATTAGGCATACTCTGATGTTGTCGGTACCCTGGAGCGTTAGAGCGGCAAATGAGAAATATGTGGCTGAGGTTGAATCTCAATATCTATACTTTTTTTATAATCTCAAGTGAACCGTCCCATATGTATATATATATATATATATATATATATATATATATATATATATATATATATATATATAATTACTTGAGAGGGTAAGGTACTTTTGCCTTTGATCACATTTGGTCACTAAACTTTATTTTGTGTTTTATTAACCCTTTAACTTGTTGAATTGTATTAATGTTCCCCTTATTACCGGTTTTAGCCGGTTTCAAAGGATTTATCGATCATACGTGTACTTTTTAGATTACGTGGCGAATGAGGTGGCATATAGGCCCCAATTTTTCTCCCCCCTCTCGTTAAACTTTACCTCGAAGTCTCGTTTGGTCCTTAAACTCGATTAGTGCATAAAATTCTCCATCGACCATTCATCTCCTTCAATCGTTCTGTAGAATGACATCATCACCAAATCTCACTCGATCATAACTTCATTGTAGTGGATTTCTACAACAATGGTCAGATTGCACCCAAGCCTTTAGTCTACTTTGATCCTGACAGAGCATCAGTGCGAGATGTTGACTTCAGTGCATTTGGGTATGAGTGGTTCATGGAATTCCTTCACAAGCTCACCAGAACGACAACCAAATACATCTATTTATGTCTTCCACAAGAGTCTTTAGGTCAGGGAAATCATACACTGGTGAATGAGGTTGATTACAAGGAATTTTTGGATTTGGCATATGCTAATGACAAGAGAATAAATGTATATGTGGGTCACCATAGTGAAAATATCTCCAACTGGATTGAGGTTGGGATAAGTGAAAGTGAAAATAAAGACCTATATGAAGATGAAGATTCATATATTGTTGATCATGAAGAAGATGATGCTACCTATCCATTTCCAGCAAAAAAAATTGCACATGATAGATTTTTAAACATCCTTTGTGAACCTACGGAGAGTGAAGATCAAGATGATAAATATGTTCCACCCTAGTACCATGTGTATGATGAGAGACAGCCATGGGATCAGATGAAACCAATGATAACCCTAATGAGCTTAAACATATGTTAAGCAGCTATGCAGTTGTTAATGGGTATGATCTATGGTTTGAAAAAAAAAGAATGAATTTGATAGATTGTTATTGAAATGTTGCAAAAGAATAAGTCACCATCTTGCCCCTTCAGATTATGGGCCTCTTGGATAGGTAAAGAAAAGACTTTTCAGATCAAATCTCTAGTGAGTGAGCATAATTATTGTAGGGTGTTTAAGTTTGGGTCAATAGTAACTTACAGATGGATAGTCAAACATTTTATGAGTCAAATTACAGAGAACCCAAAAATAAGTGCAAGGTAGATGAAAGCTAAAGTGTCAACAACATTAAACATAAATGTGAGTGTGGGACAATTAAGAAATGCAAAGAAAATTGCATTACAAGAGATTGAAGGAAGTATGATTGAACATTATGGGATATTGTGGTCATATGATGAGGAAAATATCAGGTCAAATATTGGGTCTACTGTGAGGTTGGATATAGACATCATGCTAGATTCCACAACTTTGTTTTCCAAGTTTTGTGTGTGTTTCAAAGTTGTAAGGGATGGTTGGTTAGAAAGGTGCAGGCATGTAATTGGGCTTGATGGTTGCTTTTTAAATGGTATAGTTAGAGGAGAAGTTCTTCCAACTGTTAGGAGAGATGCAAACAACCACATCTTCCCTATAGCATGGGTTGTGGTCTGTGTTGAGGATAAAGAAACATAGAAGTGGTTCATAGATTTTATTATGTATAACATTAATGGTGGTCTTGGTGAAGGCATTACCCTTTCTTTCCGATGGACACAAGGTTAGTACTATGTCCTTTTTATGCTTCGTTTTTGTGCTTTTTTCACTCATAATGATGTTGTGATTTGTAGGGGTTATTACGAGCGGTTAAGGAAAGATGTTCAGAAGCTGAACATAGACAATGTGCCAGACACATTGTGAACAATTTTAGTAAAGGTTTACTGGTCAAGAATACATGAAGTTATTTTTGAGGGCTGTAAGGGCTAGTACGGTGGAGAAGTTCAGAGGGGTAATGGAGAAGATCAAATCTATTGATACTCATGCTTATGATTACCTTATAAACAGAGATCATACTACCTATTCTACGGCATTCTTTCAAGAGGGAAGATATTGTAATGCAATGGATAATGGGGTCATTAAGAGTTTCAATTCTGCTATTAGGCATGCTAGAAGGAGACCTCTCATCATTATGCTAGAAGATATTACGTTATTTGTGATGGAAAGGTTGTACACTCAAAGAGTTGAAGGAATGGAATGGGATTTTGATATATGTCCAACTATTAGGAAGCATATATAAGAGTTGAAGGTTAAATAAAGGTAAGTTTTTTAGTTTAATATGCATAAGTTAGTTATGGAGATGTGTTATTGATTAGTAGTTTTGTTCCTTAAACTGATTGTGGGGAGTTACTCATTGTGGTTATCAAATCTATTGGGTTAGTTTCACTGATGTTTCATATGGAGTGGATCTAATTGCAAAGAAGTGTGTATATAGAATATGGCAACTTATAGGGATATCACGTTTACATGGAGTGGCAACAATCTCTTACCAAAATCGGGATATAGAGACATATGTGTCCCAATCCTACACTACTGAGGCTTACCTAAAGTGTTACAAATACAACATTAATCCTCTCAATAGTAGTGATATGTGGCCAAATGTTCCATACCACAAGTGTAATACTCGATTTTAAATTTGCTTCTTTATTTGGGGCAGCGACCCAATCTCCAATGGTCATGAGGCTTAGGGCCTTGGGGAAGGAATAATTTGGTCCTTCTCATGTGTGGGCATTATGGTTTAAGTGATCCAAGTGTTCGATTGTGTCTTTAGAGGTCAAGGGTATAATCGTAATTTGATAATTCAATCTTTTATGAATTTTGAATTTAATTTTGGTTGGTTTTCAGACTAAATATTTTTTATATAAGTGTAGGGCTTCTCATTACCTTTTCGTTGATATAAAGAACGTCAAAAACGGATAAAGGATGCAAAAGTTATGACCATTTGAAGTTAGAGGGGTGTTGGGTCAAAACGGGTGCGGATACACTTATGAACGCCCTGTATTCCCTAAGGAAACGCACTGCGCTCATCAAGTTAGATGGAAACCCTAATTTAGGGTCTTGGACCCTATTTAAACACCTTAAATCACCTCTGACCCTCATTTCCTTCAGCCTCCATCATTTCTAATCCTAAGAACGAAACCCTGGCCTCCATTCAAGTGATTTATGTGTGTTTTTAGTGCTTAAGGAAGAAGACGGAACTTCTTGAAGAGTCATTGCTTGACTTGGAGCTTTTCGACCCAGACTTTGTGCACATAGATCTATCTTATGGAGGTATAAAATCTAAAACTTGATAACTCTTTCATGTAGATCTAGCTAACTAGTATTTTGTTATGAATTTGGTCTCTTTGATGTGGTTCTTGTGAGTAGAAGTTACTCCAAAACCTTTGAGCTTCATATTTGGTCCTTGTTGAGGTTATGGAGTCATCAAGTTTGGATCTTGATGGGTAAAAACCTTCCATGCATGATTTAGTAGTCATTTGATGAAGTTTAGGGACTTAGGGTTTTTAATTGGTTCCCATTGAGTTATGTTAAGTCATAAAGTTGGAAACTTTATGACTTAAGAAGTCCCTTGAAATTAGATCTGGAAGTTTGGATTGAGGTCTTAAGGTATTAAGAAGTTTTTAAGACATTTCAAAGTGATTTTGACCTTTGGAGTTCATCTTTGGTGTTGGGCTTTATTAAGCCATGCAAAGGCTTAAAGCCTTCGACTTCATAGATTAAGTCACTAATATGAAGCTATTATGAGGATTTGGATGTTGGACTTAAGGTATTAAGATGTTGGTGTGATTTTTGGTCAGTGGTCGAGAACGCATTGCGTTCATCTCGGGAACGCGGCGCATTCAGTCAAGGGGTCCCGATATGTGGTTTGGCAATGAACGCCCTGCGCTCCATCAGGGAATGCAACACGTTCGGTTCATCTGTAGGGTTTTTGGGCTTTTGGCCATGGGCTTGTTTTGGGTATGTTTCGTTTTGGACTTGCTGTTTGAGCCTCTGGGCCATCTGAGATTTATTATTGGATAAAGAAGTATTGGGCTTTAGGATAAGGCCCATACGGATTGGACCCAAATTGGAAAATTGGGCCATTAGTGGGCTTATGGATCTTATAGTTTTGGGACGTTACAAGCTGGTATCAGAGCCTTGGTTTAAGGGATTCGTGCATACTCTCGGTGTGCCTGAACTCAAACTGAGGGTTTGGTGAAAAAATTTATAAAATAAACACATGAGTAAAAAGAAATTTCTAAACAAAAAAAGGGGTGTGATGCATGCAATCGTCCATGCTCAAGTAAGTGGTTCCCAAAATACCAATACATGTTTAATATGTTATATGATATGATTATGTGAATTACATGCTAGATTAGGGTTAAGGATCTGCTCAATATTATATGTTAGGAAAGATGCCTTTATATGCCTGATTGTATGAGCTTTATAATTGCATGCTAGTATGGTTTTCATATCAGTGGATAAAATGGCTTGATTAGTGTATGTTGGTTAGATTTTCCATTGCCCGAATGTTGCTTGCTTTGTACTTTGTGGGATTCTTAGTGATGTGGATCAACTACTAAGTGAATATGTTAAGTCATATTCGACACATGTTAAATAATCTAAAAGTGATGGATTGGACCCTATTGTGAAACTCTCGTTTGAGTCCAACCGTTATAGGGTTGAGTCTTTTACTCGAAGGATTATCTTATCTCTGTTGCATGTCACTGTATTCATGACATAGTTTGTCAACATTTGTGAGAGTCTTTCAGCAGTTGAGGGTAGGGTGTGGTCGGGAACCTAAGAGAGCCTAGGATATGATTCAGTGGGTTTAGTGGTGCGGGTTAAGTGAGTTTTGGTGCATTGGTTTGAGGAGGTGACTTAGAGGATTTGGGAGGATTATTGAGGAAAGTATAGATATGTCTGGAAGGTAGTATTGGGCCCATACTACTGAAAGCACATGATCCACACTCGAATCGGTGAAAGTATTGGAGAACCTAAGAAGCGTATGAAAAGGAGGATTCTTGGGTATGTTTTGATCATTGGCATGTTGTATTTCAGTTGGTGATGAGCACTTAGGGAAGTGGTTCAGGTTCCGGTTCTGATTCTAGTTCGGGTTCCGGCTTGGGTGTAAGTATTGAACCGATTAGCGAGAAGTTGCGGGAGTGAATCTCATTAGAGATTTTTCACAATATTTTGGAGATCTTGGATGAGCGCTTAGGGGCGTTCCGTGCAGAGGTTATGGCTATCATTGGAGCTCGCACTCTTTCTTTCCGGGATAGGGCTTAATTGGTATCACAATATACAACAGATGAGGAAAAGCAGAAGGCGAGGTATCATGATATGTTGCGGGATGATACTAGGGAGTTTGTGAGTATTTCAGGGTGCGAGACCCTAAATGATATGGTTTCTAGAGCCCGAGAGTGGGAGATCGATTTAGAGCACCTTAGGAAGAGGGGATCAGATCAGGTATATGCAGTGGAGGGTCCCGGGAAGAGATCCAAGACTTCTGATCAACATTTGAGAGGCCATCAGGGTCGGGGTCAGTGCAGCAAGTTTGGGAAAATGCATGATGGAGTTTGTCGTTCCAGGGGTTTGGGCTGCTACAAGTGTGGCAAGGTTGGTCACGTCAGCAAGGATTGTCCTCAAGGTTGAAGATGGGTTGTAAACAAGCTTTGAATCTGGTTGAAGATGGAATCTATAGGTTTGGTGCTGTTTGATCGAATATGCATGTATAATCGGAATCCGCAGCTGTGGCGGTTGACGACAATAGTGGTGGTGTCGGTCAACGACAATGGTAGTGGTGGTGTTGAATGATAGTGTTGGTAGTGGTGTTAGTGGGGATAGTTTTTTCTTCTAATAAGGAAATTATAAATATATAATAAATAAATGAAAACATAATTAAAAGAGGGTGTTATAGTTTGTTCATGTATGCCATGGATGAAAAACAAAACGAAAACAAACTATAGGGACGGTCTGAGTGCAAAACAAAAGATAAGGATCAATCATGAAATTTTTACAAACCACAATGACGATTTCAATAATTTGTTCTTTTTTCTTTTTAAGCATAGCCATGAGCCTTTTTGTAACACCCAAGGTTTCGAAGACCAAGAAAGGAAAGAAAACCCTAAGTTTAGGGGTCGACTCGGCGAGTCTAAGGAGGGACTCGGCGAGTCCGAGCGGGATCCGGGTCGGGGAGTAAGTGACCGACTCGGCGAGTCGACCAGGGTGACTCGGCGAGTCTGGTCTGTGCGTGGAAAACCCTAAATTCGGGACTTGGGGCCTATATAAATGTCTTAATCTTCTTCCCAGGGTTCCTTACTGGCTCTTTAGCCCTGGATATCAAACCCTAGCCGTCATATCTCCTAGTTGAGCCTTGGAAGGTGCTTTAAAGCTTGGAAAAGGAAGAAGGAACTTGGAGGAGCAAGAAGGAGCTATAGACCTGGGATTGTGAGTTCATTTTGAGCACTTGGAGGTAATAAACTAGTTCCTGGACCCTTTTTGCACCTAGATCTATGTGTGGTTGTTGGGGCTCTTTTGCCATAATGTTATTATTTTGGGTTAGAAGCCGGATCTGGAGTTGCTACTTCAGATTCAAGTGTTTTAGGGCCTGGAGAAGCATAAAGTATCAGTCATTGTGTTGATTTTGAAGTCCCTTGGCC